GGCTTTCTTCTGAACTAGCACAACATTATATAGGTAATTTCTGATTGGATTTTGGTAACTAATTTGGTGGCTAATATGTGCCACATCTGTGAGTCTCGGCATTTTTTATCTATACTATATATTCCGTCCTCTTGTTTTCAGAGACAGGGATGTTCCATTTGTGGACGGTTCAAATGATTATGATGCAGAAGAATACGATACTGATGAGTCTATGGTGGATGGCCGTAATGAAGAAGAGCTTATGAACGAAAGGGACGAGGCTTCCAGAGGAAGTATTTCTGTTGAGGTAATTGTTTTGCATTTGTTTTGAACTGTGTTTTCAGTTTTAGCTTTTGGCCAATATCCATTTTACTTTCTCTTCTAGAGCATTCATGGAGTAGCGAAGGAACCCATGTCAAGCTGCAGCAGTGAGTTGATTAACTCTTCGGGAAAAGATTATCACGCCATTTTTGATCTTGTTTAGCCCTCCGGGGACCTAAATTACAAGAGGAATTTGCAAGATTTCTGAGTTGAAATCTAATATTTCTTCGAAGCAATGCTTTAGTTCTTAAAACTAATTTTTTTTTTTCAAGAAAAAGCTTCATTGAGCGTAACGAAATCATTTAAAGGAAAGGATTGGAAAAATAAGAACATGTCCGAAGACCTTTTGTGACTGCGGCAACAAGTTTTGGTAGTTCTAGCTTCAGTTTTGCAGTTATCTGTCTTGGGCAGATCGTATGCGAGGTGACTCTGCCGCCTCTGCCCGAAATCATTGGTTTCTTTTACCAGTTTAGGTTTGCCGATGGTAGTGTGCTGAGGTTTATCATTTGATGAATACTTTTAGGCAGTCAGAGGTTTAAAAAATTACTTGGAAAATGACAAAAATTTTTTAGTTATTCTGGGTTGATCTCGTTATTTGCGCAGAATTGAGGGAAAGGAGAATGTGTGTTTTTTGTAGGAATACGTCTTAAATTGCTGTAGTATTTCACGTCATTGGCCGTGAAAAATCACGGTTTTAACCACATTTACCACGTAAAGCGCTGGTAGCCACATAATTAAATTCTTTTGTCGTTAATGAGTGACTGCTCGGAGGTAGACTACTTAACTTACCAGAAGGAGTCTGCCAGAGTAAACTTATATTATTCAGAACTCTTACTAGTCTCATTATGTAGTTAAGGTGAATCGTATGTTGTAGAATGTGAAGCGAAGATTTTACAGCGTGCTTACTGAAATGAAACACCGGCCAAAGCACTACTGCATTTTATAAATGTAGATTTTGTGGAAAATGAGAGTGGATGGAAGACAAGCTTAGACGTTTATAGATTTCAGTTTCAAAATTATAGATTTTATATTGGAGATAAAGTCCAAGTGTGTAAACTGATTAGACCCGGTGATTTCTTTAAGAAAATTATTGCTGCATTTATATAACCTGTTGACATTAGAGGTTTGGGGGGGGGGAAAAAAAATAATTTTTTTTTATGGCTGGAAGAGGCACACATCAAAGTTTGTAACGAGTTAGCTAATTTCCATAGTGTTGTGATTATCACTTTTGAAGTAAGTGAACAGTATTACATTTTTGCCAACCGTAGAAGCTGTGTTGTTTTTAGGAGGTTTGAAAAACTGGTCTTCAGTAACATGGTTGTTTACCTTAATTTAGTATTTTAGGCTTTTATTATAGAACGAAAAATTAAAAATTAGGGTCAGTTAATTTCTAGTCCTCATTTTATTCTCGAGTTGACAGGGCTTTCCACACTTTTTAATTTTTGAATTGATTATGGCTCACAAAAAATCGGTAGGTGTAACTGTTGTGTTATATTTTTATTTTTTTAGAAGAAAAAAAGGTAATTGCACGAGGATGAAATTTCCTCTTGTTTTTTAAACATGTGCTATTTACTTGGGAGGGATAAAAAAATAAATTGAAATTTGAGGATTACCAATGCAGACCAGCTTTTGGTTAAAAGCTTTGAGTTCAGTTGCTGAAAATTAGTGTGAGAGGTAGGTATCTTGTTGGTTTTAGGCAACCTGAAAATTTGGCGTAAACGTCTGCTTAAGGCTTTATTTAAAAAAAAAAGTCAAAAGCTATGAAGAGTACGAAATTTTTTATTTTGACTTAGTAAGCAAAAATTTATTTTTGTTTGCAAATTCCAAACAAATTCTTCAAGTAAATAAAAGCTGATTATTTTTTGGAACTGCTGGAGATTTCTGAATGATAACTGTGTAGCGCTTTTGAAGAGTCAGAATCAACGTTCGGTTTCTAAGCGTTTAACTACTGCAGTGAGCAATAGAGACACTAGTCAGGAAATAAAAGTTATAGTGTTATGTAAGGTATTCCTTCTGATTTTAAAAAGGATTTCTTTTAAAATGAAGTCAGTGAAATGATGATTCGAAAAGTAGTCTCAATTTTAATTCACTATTTTTTCATTAAACATTTCAGAAATAGTTTATCTGCTTAGGTAACAAGTATTTTTAAGGAGCAGTTTTACTGTTAAGCTTTTGGGACACTAGAAAAGATTTTTCAGCAATTTTTTTTTTTGCACAGTTCCTTTTTCACAACAAATTGTTAGCTTGTACAGCAGCTTGGAAGAGAAAAATAGTCAATTTTTCCTGAAAATTCCGAAGTTTATGTAGTTTTTTCATCTGACACTTCAGTAAGTCTGCTTCTTATTGCAGCCACTCGCTTTTACATTTGTATTTTTGAAAATGTATAAAAAATTATGCAGCTCTTTTTTAGCGAAGGGCGTAACTGATGTGCACTTGGATTTTGCTGGTCTTTCATTTGCATTTTCTCTTTATAGAACAAAACAGGTTACCAAGAGGCGACTTCAAAAGTTGGAACGTAAGTTTTCATACTCGATCTGCAACTGAATATTTTTGAAACCTACGCTCTCTTCTTTCTTATGAAGAAGAAGAGATCATTATATAATTTTAGTTTTTTTCAATTCACCAAGACGTATTTTTCCAGCTGTTGTGAAGTTATTCGACGTGCCGACCCCTGTTTTAATGGCTAAATCAATTTGTCTGAATGTTCCTTCGGTTTGCGTAAGCTTTTTCAGTTCATTGTAGCTTGAACTTTTAGACACTGGATTACTGCAGGATATCTTCATTTTTGCATATTTTTCATTGGTAGTATTAAAGCTGTATATGTACACTGATATTTTAGCTTCGCCGTGCGCTGAATTTTGTTGGAAAACGTCAACTAGAAATGTTCAGCGTCGGTCTTCCACTAGATTTATGTTCCAACATTCGTCCAAACAGAACTCCCTACAAAGATGTTATAGAAATTCTGGATAATATGGGTCATTTCGTAAATCGGAACTGGGTTTGTTATTTGGTTATTGTTAGCCGTGGGCTCTCTGGCAAAACTGATTCTAGCTGACTTTAAAATTTTTTTTTTACTACAGGAACACAAAGAGGCTCGCTTTCATGTAATGGTGGATTACTACGCTCCAGAAAGAGTTGTGCACTTATCAAATTTGGTCGCTGCAGCTTTTCCTGTTGCAGAAAAGATTTCTTTACGTTTAGAGACTGCAAGGATTCGTGATAAGGAGTTTTATAGTTTGTCAGTTTCTAAGCTGTATGCGTTTTCAGATTGTATTATCTTGAGATATCATGTTTTTTGTTTTTACAGCCGACGTCATATGACTGATAAGACGGTTCCACGTAATTTAAGCGTATTCGACCTTTCAATAGACGCCCTTACATATCGGGTAAACATCTTTATTGAATTACAGAATCTTTTTTGTCAAAATTTGCTTTTTCATATCTGAGCTTCCAGTTAGAGCTAACTTTATTTTTAGGTTCCTTCTGAACTGCCAGTTCTGGAATGTTGTACTTTGGAAGAGTTTTATTTAACCTTGTCTGGTATTCGGCCGAAACTGACAAATGAAAATGTTAAAATGGATTTGAGCGTTATGGTGAACAAGCTGATGAACGCTACTGCTCTTCCGAGATTGCACACGATTATTTTTAAGATTAATGCTGCGTAAAAATAATTGTTACTAGCTACTAGATTTCTTAGCTCTAATTAATACATCACAGATAGCATTGTGCTTTTTTTTTTATTTATGGGATCGATTAAATTACAGGTTTTTATTCGACCTATGCGAAATGTTTATTAGCTCGTCTCATACCGTTGGACATAATAACTCGATTCGTACTCTTGGTCTCATTTGCACAGGTCTTGTAACCTTATTTTGCTACATTCGTTTGAGGTACTTGAAATTGGTTTTGCAGTTGAATTGTTTGTACTGTCGTTTACTTTTTCATGCTATTCTTAGTTTTAGATGCTCAAACGCGTTGTTCTGTCTTAATTAACAAACTGCACAGCGTTTATAACGCGGTAGGGGGGCATTTGGAACGCTTTATCCTTGATGTAAGAGTTTTGGGCAACTTATCGATGGATGATCTGTCCAAACTTCGCGACTATATGCCAAATTGTAGGTTGGAAGCACAGTTGGGGCCAGAAGATTGCAAATATATTGACGTAAGACTAAAAAGTTTTCAATAATCAGAACTTAGCAGTTCTAAATCATTTTTCGCTTCTAACAGGTATTAGCGGAGAAAATGTAACAGCGAAATATTTTAGAATTTTGCTTTTTTAAAGTTGTACTCTAACTGGTGTTTTCTTGTATTTGTAGAGTGGTACTTTACCACTATCTCTCGCTGCCCGCACATAAAAGAAACGTTCTTTTTTCTGGTTTGCTTTTGTTTTCTTCAAGTCGTTATAAATTTCAGTTCGACAGAGGACAGTCTGATGATGATTGCTACCGTTCTCCAAGTAACTCACGTACGTCGTGCATTTGTTTTCTAGTTTTGTAATTTCTTTTCCAAAAAGGTGGCTTGAACTTCATATTTTGCTAGCTCTTGGTTTAATTCTATGAGAAGTGATTTGGCTTTTGGCTAAGACGTCTGAAAGTTCATTTTGACGACGACGTTTTCTAGGTGCAGCTAGGATCAATTTTATATCGGTTCTTAAAATTTTTAGCTCATTTGGATGAAGGATTTGATCGCCACTTGTGTTCGGATTATTCCGATGAAGTAGTTGTTCAATTTGATGAAACCAGTATGATGTCCACAGGGGTTGACGAATCGAGTCAGGGGACGGTTTTGGATGGTTTAAGCTTGGTAGACGACACGAGTCAACCTTCTTCAAGCCAAGAAATTTTGCTGTCTAAAGGTAATATGTCAATAAATTATCTTTATTTTACATAAAGCTTTAAATTAGTTTTGGTAGAGGTCGTAGATTTGGGTATCCTGAAGTTTTGTGAGTTGACATTTCAAAATTTCAACTTTTTTCAAGTTTCTAGACGTTCTCCAATTTGTCGTTATTGTTTCCAGTACTTTATATACAGCAAACTGCGAACAGCAAATTTGTTGAAGTTTTATACATTTGATTTCTTCATTTCTATTATTAACTTTGTTTAGTTATCTGTTGCGGGTAAAATTTCCTTTTGCGTCACAGAATTAAAATTTTGTAAATATTATTGCATGTATGGGGTAGGTCAGTAGAAAAAAAAAAAGAAATGATTATTCAAAAGTTTTTTCTGAAATTTGTTACTCGAATTTTCTGCATACGGTTGGTCAGAGAACCTAAGTGTGATATGCTCTTCTAGTTGCTATAAGTACTCACTTTCTTAGAAATTCAGTTCAAGAATAATCTTTTATTGTTAATTGACCTCAGCGTGAAGGCAGTTTATTTATTTTTTTAAAATTGACACTTTTTGCGTGAAGTCAATATCTTATTCCATATTTTATTTTTATTTTTTTGTAGTTTAGGTAACTGCATAGTAGTCTGATTGGGTAGTTTTGAACAAGAGTGTTTGAAAGGTTTTGTTAAGTAATCAAGTTGGTTGTAATTTATCTGTGGAATCATTTGAGTTGCTAATTTTGTAGTTTCGAGTTGCATATTCTTCTTTCAAAATTTTTTGCTGCGGAGTACTTAAGATTATGATTATAGGTGCAGGTAATCGAGTGCTAAGATCTGGGCGCGAAATAGGTCCTGGTCCCAGTTGCTCTTTCGCTCCTAAGGCTAGAAGACGACAGTCCCGAAAACGTTTGTTATTTTTGTTCTTTACCTTTGAGTGGTATGAGTGGCATTTTTCTTTTTTTGACTTCGTTTTTACAGCGCAGAAGTTGTTCTCATCGGGAAGTGATACTGACACTCTAAGCCCTAATGAGTCTTCTGGGAAGAAACGAACAAGACGTAAGCCTTTTGAGCCTGATAACTAAGTTTGCATCTGAAAACTGTTTTTTTCTGATAATTTTTTCTGTCCGATTGCAGGACGGCAAAAGAGAATAACTTCAAGTGGAGATGAAAGTGTTGACTCACATGTATTAGGGGAAAACGCGAGCAGACGAACGCTTCCTAAAAGAGGTTCACCTAACGGCTATATAATGATAAGAAAATAATTTATTCTATTCTTCTAGAAGTTCCGCCTGAGCAACAGAGGCAGAAACTCATTTAGCAAAGCATAGAAGCGATTAATATTATGTTTAATATATTTATTATTTATTTATTATTATCCGCATATTCAAAGAAGATTTTCTCTTATGCAAATTAGTTTTAAAAACAGAAACGATAAAGTTGAATTTAATGACCAAATAAGTGAAAGTTTTTTAATTCCGAAAGAAGTTTTATCAATTTTGTAGTAGAGTAGCAACAAAAAAAAAAAAACCATTTTTTGTATAAGGATCAGAAATTACAACAATTGTGCGAGACGAAAGAGTGGTGAATATTTAGCTTTGAAAAAAATTATTTGGGGGTTTAAGTACAATTGAAGGGATTCTGATGCCATGCACACCAGGAATTAGTGTAAGAGAAGCAAATAGTTAGGCAAAGAAGTTGACGTTAGCAGAAATCAAATGAACATCGATAGGAATTGAAAACTACAGCTATTTCTTCACTGTGTCGTTACAGGTGTTACTAGAAAAAGATCAGTTGTGGACTTTGATACTTCGAATAATTTCTCAGATGCAACCGTTTCGTCGAATTCTGAAGAATGGTCGCCTAATAAGACGAAAAAAACTAGGCGTTCTAGGAGAAGTCGTCGCAGCTAACTTTTTTTATATTGTAGGTCAGATTACCTCTCTTGATATTTTTTCGTGTGATGTCTTGATGAACAGAAACACTGTCATTTTGCACCTTTAGTCTCAGTTTTGTATTTTATCGAATAATTTATTTCCTTCTATGATCTTCACTTGCACAAGGGTGAAAAGTCGCGGTCTCACTCTGGTTCTTCTTTAATTCAAACAGGTACGTGAAGGTTTTTTCTTGAAATGTTGAGTGTTGCGTAAGCTGCAAGAAATCACTTTCAGAGATGAATTTTTTATAGCATATATTTTTTTGAGGACGAATAACTTTCGGTGTTGATACGGTTGAACGAATTTCTTCCGAGTTTACTTAGGAGTTTGATTTATGTTCTTAAGTGATTAAGATTTTATGAACCTGTGATTTAAAGAAGTTTTTAACTTTCAAAGTCTCGAAGGTTATATAGTTTTGCCATTTTTATTTGCAATTCCTGTTTTCCAATTTTTTCGTTACATTCAGCAATTATGCATCTCTCTCTTACCAAAATGCTTTTAATGGGTTTTTGAATTTGGTTTTTGTAATATAGCCCGTTTTGTCGTTAGTGAAAGCTATGCTTTGTGGAAGGCAGCTGAAGTGGTATAACCACTAGTAATTTTTTGATTTGCATATCTCTATTATTATACCACTGGTTTTTAAAAGGGTTACTTAAATTTTTATTTCCAAATTGCTGTCGTCGTTGACATTAATTGCTTTTACGACTTATTATTATACGAGCGACTTACTTAGGTATAAATTTCGTACAATTTGATTTTGCTCATCTTTTATTGGTATTCTTATGTTTGTTTACTTTTTGTCTTGTTTTCCTACTTTGATTTGCATTGAGTTAGTGGCGAGTGTTTTATTCTATTTTAAAATTTTCTTTGTTTTTTTTTTTTTTTTTTTTTTTTTTTTTT